TGCTAGCGTGTGAAATGAGTGCAATTGTACGGTAGTTGGAGCATTCTTTGGCACTGCCCTTATTTGGGATTGGGATGTAGACTGATCTTTTCCAGTCCTCTGGCCACTGTTGAGTTTTCCCAACTTGCTGGCATATTGAATGTAGCACCTTAACAGCATAATCTTTTAAGATTTTAAATAGTTCAATTGGAATGCAATCACCTCCACTGGCCTTGTTGTTAGTCAGGCTTTCTAAGGCCCACTTGACTTCACTCTCCAGGATGTCTGGCTCAAGGTCAGCAATCACACTATCTGGGTTGTCCGGGCCATCCAGATCTTTCGAGTATAATTCCTCTGTGTATTCTTGCCACCTCTTCTTGATGTCTTCTGCTTCTGAGAGGTCCCTCCCATTTTTGTCCTTTATCATGTCCATCTAACATCTCCAATTTTCCTGAACAGATCTCTGGTTTTTCCCTTTCTATTCTTTTCCTCTATTTCTTTGCATTCTTCATTTAAGAAGGCCCCCTTGTCTCTCCTTGCTATTCTTTGGAAGTCTGCATTCAATTTTCTGTAACTTTCCCTATCTCCCTTGCATTTTGTTTCCTTTCTTTTCTCTGCTATTTCTAAGGCCTTGTTGGATAGCCACTTTGCTTTCTTGCATTTCCTTTTCTTTGGGATGGTTTTTGTTGCTGCCTCTTGTACAATGTTACAAGCCTCTATCCAAAGTTCTTCAGGCACTCTGTCCACCAAATCGAGTTCCTTAAATCTGTTCTTCACTTCCACTGTGTTTTCATAAGGGATTTGCTTTAAATTATACCTGAGTAGCCCAGTGGTTTTTCTTACTCTCTTCAGCTTGAATTTTGCTATGAGAAGCTGATGAGCAGAGCCACAATCAGCTCTAGGTCTTCTTTCTGCTGACTGTATAGAGCTTCTCCATATCTGGCTGCAGAGAATATAATCAATCTGATTTCGATATTGCCCATCTGGTGATTTCCATGTATAGAGTCGCCTCTTGTGTTGTTGGAAAAGAATGTTTGTGATGACCAGCTTGTTCTCTTGACAAAACTCTATTAGCCTTTGCCCTGTTTCGTTTTGAACTCCAAGGCCAAGCTTCCCTGTTGTTCCTTTTATCTCTTGACTCCCTACTTTAGCATTCCAGTCCCCTATAATGAGAAGAGCATCTTTTTTTGGTGTCAGTTCTAGAAGTGTTGTAAGTCTTCATAGAATTGGTCAATTTCAGTCTCCTCAGCATTGGTGGTTGGTGCATAAACTTGAATTGATGTCGAAAGGTCTGCCTTGGATTCATATTGACATCATTCTATCATTTTAAAGATTATATCCCATTACAGCTTTTCCCACTCTTTTGTTGACTATGAGGGCTATTCCATTTCTTCTAGGGATTCTTGCCCACAATAGTAGATATGATAATCGTCTGAATTGAATTTGCCCATTCCTGTCCATTTTAGTTCACTGACACCCAGAATGTCAATGTTTATTCTTGCCATCTCCTGTTTGACCACATTTAACTTCCCAAGGTTCATAGATTTTACATTCCAAGTTCCTATGCAGTATTTTTCTTTGCAGCATTGGACTTTCACTTCCAGGCACGTCCACAGCTGAGCGTCCCAAACTAGTACCAGTGAATTTTTTTCTTTCCATCCAGAAGCTCTCCTATGTGTCAAGAGCAATGCCAGCTCTTGACTGCATCATCTTAAGACAGTCCTACTTCAAAAAGCAGAGAATTGGTAATGTCTGTGGGTCAAATTGTTGGTTCAATCTGAATAAATGTTACTTTCACAACAGGGAGCAGGAAGAAGCAAGGTAATTGACAGTCCATTTGTCAAAGTTTCCAGGAATCTGGACAGGCAGTACAGAGTAGCAGGCAAGAGGTGAAGTTCCACATTGTCTCCCAGAGAGGATCTGCTGACTATACACAAAGAATTTATAGCTCCCAACCAATGAGTGTCCAAAGAGCCTTGAAATACTGGTTCCACTTTTAGTCTAATGTTTTCTATCTGCCTTTCCGTGGGACAAATGGGATGCACGTTGATTGCATTCCCATTGTCTTCTGGTTTCTTTCTATTGATTGTGTTGCTTCTGAAACTTCTGGAAAAATATTAATAAATGGGAAACACCATTCTCTTTCCACATTGCTCATCTCCAGCTATGTGAGGTTTGCCTCCTCTTCGGAAGATGATTCAGCAAGGTTAGAAGTGATAATCTCAGAGATTATTCTCCTACCATATTATTGACTAGCCAGGAACAGAAGTTCTCATACACAAAAATCCTTGCCTCCCCCCCAGAAACAAAAATCAATATTCCCTAGGCCCCTCAAAGTCCGGATCCACTCACAATGTTTTCTCAAGCATGTCTGCTTTCTCCCCCCCATGCCTTCCCCTTTGCTAATGAAGCAACCCTTTAAATAGAGCATACTGTACATAATACTTTGCATCACAGTATTTTTACTGGGGGAAATTCATTCTTGCACCTGTTTCTATTATGACTATAGCTAAGGGCAGAGGGCTCAGATAAGAGGGGAAGTGGAATCAGATAATGACATTATACTTACAAATCAAACATTTCCCTCCCTAAAAATACATTCAACTGGCAAAACTGACAGGCTACTCCAGGCTCAATATAAAATGCAAGCAAATCTAACTTGTAGGACAACTTAATGCATAAATCTTTAGTAATTCTTTTCCACAGCAACTATTTCACTAATGGATCCAGTTCTGACAACTGTCTTGCTGTTTCCTCTTCTATGATTGCCAAGATAGTACTTGTCACTTGATTGTGAAACCAAGTCTTTGGGACAGATAAATAGTAGCACTATTGGGCTCTACCTCCAATGAGTAATTATGTGTGTTTTTTTTCCAGTGGCATGAAGATGGGAAAGGTATTCTCCTCCACACTAGCCTGTATGAAGAGGAGATCCAGAGGCACCAAGATCTGTTTCCGGAACTCAGAAACCTGAAGCCTGTTTCTGTGCTACAAGCCTGGCTGACAACCTATGGCTTTAAAGCAAAAATAACTAAGCAAGTCAGGTTTTTTTGTCCACTTTGTTTAAGTGAAGGACAGCAGCGCTAGGAGAAAGGTCTGCCTGAAACATTGTCCAGCAGCCCAGCTGGTGCCGCAAGAGAAAGATGGGCCTGGACCATCTGACTTGCTATAAGACAGCTTCATTCATATTTAGTCAAAATATGACTATGTTGCACTGTGACTATTTTGCTAATGGAACTACTGTAGTTCTATAAAACACCTTGATGATACAATGGAAGCAAAGTGAGAATGCAGATTTGTGTGGAGAAATGGAAATACTTCCAATGACTGCCCCTTAACCTCTTCCACCAGTTATAATAATCTTAGAACTCCAGAGCTGGAAGGGACCCTATGGATCATAGTCCAGCCCCTGTCAAGGGGGCACAGTGGGGAATCAAACTCCCAACCTCTGGCTCCACAGCCAGATACCTAAACTGAACTATCCAGCTGTTGTTCTTTATTGGGGGACAGAATTATGTGTAGCATATGGCCTATGTTGTGCTCTTTTTTTACTTTTACATTAGAGTAGAAGGTGCTGTCCCATCTGTGAGTGTTGAAATTAGTTTAACTGCCGCTCCAAGGATGCTTTTTTTTTACAGAGATAGATGGTCAGGGCTCCATCTTTTATTTCACATTAAGCAGTGAAGTTGTAAGAAATAGTAATAGCATTTGCATGGATGCAAAGCTATAGAACAGTTTCATTATCTTTTGGCTGCTGAAAAATGCCAGAAAGGAGAAACACAGAGAACAGTCTAGCCTTGAGACAGTGATTACAGTGATTAACTACCACAGGTGCCATTAACTTGTTGTCCCTTCCCAGGTGCATTACCTTATTGGGAATGATGGGAGTTGTCCAACACACCAGGAAGACACCAGGTTGTGGAAAGGTCATCTATTGGTCAGATCATGGGGTGGTTTACTCAAATCACATCTCATCTTCCACCTCTCATTTCTGTCCCACAGAAATGAACCCGACATTCTTGCATTCCAGCATGCAAACTTCAAGAAGCTCTCTCTATGGGCAGTGGAGGGATATGGCCCAAAAGCTGATGCTCCTCTCAAACCTGAAGTTCCAAAGCAACCCAAGAAATCCAAGAAAAGGAAAAGTTCAACAGATACCATAGTCACCCCATCTGGCAACACATTGCCTCCAGAGTCTGTGGGTGCAGAGAGTGAGTAGAAAGATGAAGGGGTGTCACAGATTAGGTGCTGTTCAATAGGAAAAATGGGATGATGAACCAGCCGTTCCTAAAATAGTAGTATTTCAGCATATTCTGTCTGGTGCAGACATGATTGATTTGTACAAGGAGAAAGGATCCTAGTTGTTTGGCAACCTTTTATCTAACAAGATTAGGGGAGACATTCTAATTCTCTGTCCAGAGTCGACAACCCTTATTTTGAAATTTGCTTCAAATGACTCATGGCTCTCGCATCTGGCCATAACTTTATGAACTTTTGGGTTTCTTCTACACCATCTCCATCTGTGGTGCCCAGCCTAATGACCTGTGCAGGATGGAAAGCTGGCTGGCATTTGTGATTTTTTAAAGTGGCCTAATAAAGACATCACCCATCCTTGCCTTACTTGTCCCATGATGAGGGCTCAGAGATGGAAAAAAAACAGCAGTCATTTACAAATGAATATAGCTTACATGAAAAGTGTGGCAGCTGCTGAAAACAGCAGCACTTCAAGTAAGTCTTTCCTTGCTGTTCTTCAAAATGAACATTAGTTCCCAGTGATACATGAAGGAAAAGGTATCTTTTTAATTCAAAAGGCCCAAAATGACCCTTGCAAACAATTTGTGCTCCAGCTAAAGTGTGACCATACACACCTTGTTGTTAGCTAAGTAGATGAGACATAAAGCAGCGGGACAATTCTTGCTCAAGTACTTCCCACTCTGGAGCAAGGGAAAGTTGGGGTTGAGGGTTGTGTGATATAGCCATACAAATATATACAGTGGTGCCTTGCTAGACGATGATAATCTGTTCCACTGAAATCGCTGTTTAGCGAAATCATTGTCTAGCGAAAAGCATTTCCCCATTGGAATGCATTGAAACCTGTTTAATGCGTTCCAATGGGGAAGAATCGTCATTGTCTAGCGAAGATCGGCCATAGGAAAGCCGCTTTGCGAACCACCGATCAGCTGTTTAAATCGCTGTCTTGCGAAGCTTAGATCCCGAAAACACCTGTTTTGCGAGCATGGAGGGAGCTGTCAAAATCATCATCGAGCGAAAATCGGTTTGTGAAGCAGGGACCAAACATTGTCCAGTGAAATTCTCCCATAGGAATCACTGTTTTGCAAATCACTATAGCGATTGCAAAAAGTCAATGTCTAGCGAAAAAACTGTCATGCGGGGTAACTGTCTAGCGAGGCACCACGTACCAGTCATTTTTTTTGTTTCATCAAGAGTTCTATAGCCTAGATGTGTACTTCATCTTATTTTTAGGGAAGTCCCAACGTCTTCGCCCTTTATACCAATACATCAATTATGATAATCCAGAGATGAACAAACCATTGGGTAAGGAATGTGACCTGAACCAACAGGAGACTCCTCCTACCCGAAGAAGTAGAACAGCCCCTTTAGAATTGAAAATAACACCAAACACAGGTAATTTGAGAACACCAAGAGAAGTGTATTCACTCTTTTTCTCCAAATCCAGCAACATAATGACAGGACAGAACAACAGGTTGGGGGAAATAAGGATTTTGAAAAGTAACTTTTGGGACTATGATTTCCAGTGGCTATGCTGGCTGGGAAATTCTGAGCATTGTAATCCATAGAAATAATTCCTCTAAGCTTTGATAAATTGGAATCAAGGTTCCTGCTAAGCTGGGCACAACCGCATGACTCCGCTTCCATCTGTGCAGCTCTCTTCCTTGGCACAGTAACCGTGTTAGGTTCTGGTAGCGATGGAAACCAGCACATGGGGGGGGGGTGGAGTCGCATGCATACCCATGGGGTCTGCCTTGTGCCCCACCCAGCATGGCTGAAAATTAGAGGGTATGTTGATTACAACAGATGACTTTTTGTTGTTGTTGCTATAATCCCCTCTCCCAGTCTTTTAAATTAGAAGTTACTGAGCGTGAGTATGTAGTGGTATGGCAAATTAAAGAAACTCATTAGCCAGTTAGTCTTGTCTTTCATAGGATAATAGAATAACTGAATTGGAAGGGGCCTATAAGGCCCTGAGCCCACCCACTGCTCAATGCTTATCCACTGATGAGACATAACAGTTCACCCCAAACTTACATTCTATGTTCCATTTGCAGATGACAAAGGCAAAGAACTGAAAGGCTCAGTAAGTGGCACATCAGGAGCAACAGTGAGAACAGAGGTAGACAAGTCTACTCAGGTGGATATCAGTAAGATGCTCAGTGTCTGTGCAGCTCACCTTGTCCCACCGTTGTCGCCACAACACAAGTAGTAATATCTAGTAGTATGCGTATCCATGAAGCAAGCTTCAGAACATCAAAAATGACTTTAGCTCTTTAAATCTTTACAGTGCTCACAGACATATTGTTTTGCTAACCCTTCCTTTTGTCCTGTATTTCCCTTAGCATTGTTTATTATATTTAGGTCTCAAGTCAGTATTTGTAGCTGTCTCATCACTTACACATAAAAGGAAATTGGATGCCAGCCCATGTAGATGCAGAATACTGTGAATTAAATGTACTGCCCAAAATTCTCTTTTGAAATTTTCACAAATTTTCTAACATGTCTGAGCCTGTAGCAGATAACTGGAATGAGTGTGCAAACCAGCTATCTCAAGTTTATGCTGCACGAGTGGAGTAGCGTTCTGGCTACCAGTTCCTGAACAACAAGATAAAAAAAAAAAACACCACACATACACACACAAGGATACGGATATTCAATTTATTTATTTCAACTACCTATGTTCAATGTGGCATCCCACAAATGGGTTGGAATATAACACCCATCATATCAATGGCAGCACTGACTAGCAGTCATGATCACTGCTGACCAGCACATCTGGGGGCACCAGGATGAGGAAGGCTGAACTCAACATTCTCAAAAGGGAATAGTACCAGAACACAAAATTAACACGGAGTCTGTTTCAGCCTCAAAGAACTCTATTATCACTTAAATGAATGTCTTCAGGTATGCAAAGAAGAGATGGGGGTATTCATATACAAATACAACTATCCTGTGCAGCTGGACTTAATGATGGTCCGGGCCAACTCACACATCCACCAGCACCAGCAGCCCCGTTCATCCTTCAAATCACTCATGAAGCACCCCTCTCTTCCCGCTCAGCTGGCCTCCCAGTGGCAGCCGTGCAGGGAGACTCGTCCTACCTCCCCCTGCCTGGAGTGGCTGGCTGAGCTGGAAGAGAGCAGCAATCTGCGAGTGACTGGAAGGATGAGCAAGGCTGCCACCAGACACATGAGGGGATGGTCCAGTCCCTCATTAAGTCCAACTGTGCGGGGATATTTGTGTATTAATACCCCCATCTTTAATGAGAAGTATGAAACTTCCTGGAAGACTGGCGGTAGGTTCACTTTGCATGATTAAAATAGTGCCTCCATATGTAATGACAGTATGACTACCAATACCATTGAGGGGAGGACACAGGTAGGGAGACATTTTGGCATTCATAACCACCTTGTGAGCTTTCCAGAGGCATCTAACAATCACTGGGCAAGGAATCCTGGACTTCCTGAGCACTGCATCTTATCCCAGCAGTGATCTTCTTAATTTTTTCATATTTGATATTACCACAGTGTGCCAGATCTATATATCATTCTTTACAAATCATGTCAACCCAGCAACAATGGCTTTGCTTCAGGGAAGGTGGAAGAGAGAAAATTTGTCGTAAGATAATAGTATTGTTCCTCTGTTCCTGCCCCACAATTACTCTTGGATATCTATGTGCTCTATCATAGCAGACAAGTGTAAAATGAAATTCTTATGGTAGCAGGAATAATACCAACCTTTGCCACTAAAAATGAGAGTATCCAGAAGTAATAAAAAAGGAAACCTTTATTCTTCCCTTATTTTCCAAAATACAAGATCATGTGGCTCCATCACATATACTAAAAAGCAGAAGAATTACCAGCTCCAATGGATTGTAACATTCATACAAGGGTAAATTTGATGACTTAACAGGCTGTTTTGACCATGATGAAGTATAAGCAAAAGTTACCAACCAGCATTTTATTTTGTGAACTTGGATAAAGTATTCTCTTGTGATATAAAGCAAAATTCAACTAATAAACTCAGTTTGTATTTTAAGAGCAAATTCCTAGGCTTCTTACATTAATGTGATGAAAGCGTACAAAGAGTGTATCTCTTAAAGGCTCTGAAATCAAGGAAAGAAAAAGCAAGACCTCCTTAATGTACAAAGGCCATACCTTGTGTCCTCTGTACAATTTATCCCCATGGTTTTTAATCTCCCACTTCAAATAAATTAATCTAGGGCTAAAATGAATGGGTACTTCAATCTTCCATCTTAATTTCCTTTAAAAGAAACTGCAGGGGGAAGGGATTAGACCTACAGCATTGGGTAAGATTTTTATATAAATCCCCTTTACCTAGTACTTTTCAAACACAGAGTAGCTTGGTGGAAATACTTTAGATCAACAACATACACAAAGTATTCTTGAAGGCTTTCATGGCCAGAATCCGATGACTGTTGTAGGTTTTCCGGGCTGTTCAGCTGTGTTCTGAAGGTTTTTCTTCCTAACATTTTGCAAGACTCTGTGGCTGGCATCTTCAGAGGACAGGAATTAGAACACAGACAGAGCTCTAACTCCTGTCCTCTGAAGATGCCAGCCACAGAGACTGGAGAAACATTAGGAAGAAAAACCTTCAGAACAAAGACTACCCCAGCCACAGAGACTGGAGAAACATTAGGAAGAAAAACCTTCAGAACACGGCTGAACAGCCCAAAAAACCTACAACACACACAAATATACATACATACATACATGTGTATGTGTGTGTGTATACTCCACTATCCTCCAATGTAATTCCCCCATGGCATTAAAAGAAAAGTTTAGTCCCAAATTTTCATTTTGTCTTCTAATCTCTGGTTGCGAAGGGTTGGATGCGACTGGGTGACTAAACAACAACGATCTTCATCATCCTTGTCAAAGCACGCAGAATTCCTAATTTCCAAATACTGTGAACAGAGAGTTGGCTTTGTCTAGAACCGATTTTTCCCCACTACTAAAAACAGCAGAGTCTGCTTTCTTTTTTACTTCAGTAATTAACTTTACTACAATTAAGAAAACAGCTGTTCTGATTAACAGTAAGTTTATAAGCTAAAAAAATGAAAAATTAGTCAGGAGCAGAACAAACAAACGATTTGGTTCTTGGTTCTCATTCTTATACAGTAGTTTCTTTTCTACAGCAAGTCACCATTTCCAAAACTACACAAAAGGTTACTAATTAATACTTTATATTAATGCAGAGGATTAAAACACAGTAGAAAAATGTTTTAAAAATTCAAGTAAACAATATATTTAATACAAAAGTTAACTGTGCTTTCTCAGAGTCAACCTGGTGAAGACAGTTCTGAATTCTTATAGTTTCTAAGATCTCTGACAGGATACAAGTCAGACAGAGAAGGGAACGGGATTTCTTTCAATTTTTTACTAAATCTAACCCAGTCTCTTTCTTAGTGCCTCTGACAAACAGCAATTCCTTACTAAGCACAGAGTTCATGACAATGGAATAGTTCTTCTCTATTCATTATTATATGCCTTGGTGAATCAATTAATTGCCTCATTAAACAGTCAGAATGGTCCCTGATCTGTGAAATGTTCTGCTAACAAAGCTAGCTGTGGCTTTGGCTTCCAACTAACCAGTGCTAGAAACAAAGTGTGGAAAATTTATCTTTTTGGACTATTCCTAGAACACTCCATCTAGGAACAACCATGCTTCCTGGGATTTTGAGGAGTTGTTGGACAGCAAAACAAGATGCGGGAAGAGAAGCACAAAAGACCTTCAGACTCTTGACATGCCATAGGAAAGGAGGAACATCATGTGTAAACAGCAGGTTAACTTCACATAACACCAACTTCTAAAAAGGATGTGAGAACTGTTAGTCTCAAATAACAGCAACTTAAGTTGAAACATTCAACACCAAGGTAGGGCTGTTATTCTTGTGTCTATCCTGCCTACATATAAAGTGGGAAGTGGGTGCAAACAGATGGGAGGGACCTTATTTTAACAATATCAGGGAGGAGGCAGAAAGGTGCTGAATCCCTCTCCACCACACTGTTTCTTCTTTCAGTCAATTACTCCGAGCTATTATTTCTCCACTTAAAAGTCTATTTCCACTAACAGCATGCTGGACAGAAGCAGCTGGAGCAAAGAACTGCAAGAGGAGTTAAGGCTAGAAGAATCTAGTGTTCATCCCCTTCTTTCTCAGCATTCTTTTAGTGTTACTATAAGCAACACTATACTTCAAGCATCTATTACTATAAGCATCATGCTTTGGGAACAGGAAAAAGTCATAAAAAGAAATTTGGCTGATACTAGTTCAGGCCTGTATTATAAAGTCCACTCTAATCCCATTATAAAGTCCACTCTAATTTTAAATTGTTCCCAAATTTAAAATTTATCTCATGTTTTATCTTTTGCTGGTAAGCTATACCATAAAGGATATTAAGATATAACTTCCATTCTTATTAAAGAGACATAGCCTTCTTTAACACTATATGCCATCAAGTTCAAACTGTAGGAATACACAAGCTGCACACACAAAAACGAGATTTACTTCTTTCCTACAGCACTCTTGTTTGTTTTAACCACTGCTGAACAGAAAGGGCAATTCAAGTTTATATACAACTCAGAAAGCTTAGCTTTAAAATGACCAAGAACACACAAATTTGCAACCTCTAAAATTCTCTAAAACCTGAAAGCATCTCCTTAGAAGTTTCACCACAAGTATGATTTCCCATTCTTCCTCCTTCTCATCATTAATTGAACATATCCATCTTAATTATTTATGTATATTTCAAATTGATTCTGCTCTCTGGGAGTCTCTCTATTATAGGTTATTTCGCTGTAATGCCTCACAGAGGTTTTGATTTGCATCTGGCTCTTCAGTCATTAGCTCCACAATTTCCCAGTCCCCAGACCGGCTGGATTTTTTAATAGCATCTACTACACTTTGCATGTAGAGGCCATCCTCAAAAGAAGCTGCCATTGCAACTGGCTTAGGATCCCATGTTCGCTGGTCTTCCTGCTCCTGGAAGGAATGACGAAGTGCTTGTACTAGGTATACCATCCCTTTGAGGTACAACAGTGGCATGTCTTTGAATCCTTTCTCAGAAAGCTCTGCATTGACATTCAAAGAGTCTGCATGCAAAAGCTCCTCCTGGGAAGCAGTGTTCTTCTGGCCATACAAATCTGTCCCACGTGCTATAAGGCGTCCAGATGATCCCACAATCATAACCTCATGGACAAATGATCCAGGCATGTTGAAGTTCAGAGTCACTGTGCTACAGATGCCTCCGGTCGTTAGCATCTGGAAAAAGCAGAAGTCATCGCTCGTGACATGGCGGATGCCACTGATAGCAGAGTTCTGCTTCACAAATGTTTTCAGCAAGCCATGGACTTTCACTGCCTTCTGACTTGTCAGATGAGTGAGGAGGTCTATGATATAAGTTCCCATTGTGTGCAGTCCACCCCCACCCATCAGTTCATC